TCCCTAAGCATAATATAAAAAAAGGTATTTTTATGTAAAATGGTTAACTCTAGTGTAAATTCTGGGGTACAGCACTACTGTGAGAACCAGTGTTGTCAAATGCATTCATGTATATATGTTGAAATAACTGAACACAGCAACAAAAGCCGTCTGGTTCAGAAATCTTTCGTTGGTGACATCAAAGCCAGGAGACGTATTATCACTGAGATTCCACAGTGTACCATTCTCAGTCATGCTAAATGCCATCCAGTTCATGTTCTACTCATAACAACCCTATGAACAACAAACCATGCCCTATTCTGTCCATCCTCACTATCCCCCATGCTCAAGTCTATTGTTAGTCATTGGAAAGTGTCAGTTCATTTTGTTGAGTTTTCCTCACTTTCTCTGACCCCTCCACATTTCCCAGCATGATGTCTTTTTCCAAGGACTAATCTCTCCTGACAAGATGACCGAAGTATGTGAGACAGTTTCATCATCCTTGTTTCTAAAATGCATCCTGGTTGCAGTTCCTCCAAGACAGACTTGTTTGTTCTTTTGGCAATGTACGAGATACTCAATATTTTTTCCCATCACCACAATGCAAAGGCATCAGTTCTTCTATCTTTATTCACTGTCAAACTTTCAGATGCATAGGAAGCAATTGAAAATACCATGGTTCAGACGTACCTTAGTCTTTAAGCTGATGCCCTTGCTCTTTAGCATTTTGGAGAAGACCTTGACAGCAGATTTTTCCCAGTACAATTTATCTTTTTATTTCTTGACTGCTGCTACCATGGATGTTGGTTGTGTATCCACATAAAATGAATCATTGGCAACTTCAGTCTTCATCTGTCACATGATTTCTATTGGTCCAGTAGTTAAGATTTTGTTTTCCTGATGTTGATAAATATCCCATGTTGAAGGCTATAAGTCTTTGATCTGTAGCAAGTACTTCAAGTCGTCTTCATTTTATGTGAGTAAGGTTGTGTCATCTACATAATGCAAGTTGTTGCTATCTTCCTCTAATCCTAATGCTATGTTCTTCTTCATATGGTCTGGCTTCTCGAATTATTTGCTAAGCATACAGATTGAATAGGTGTGGAGAAAGGGTACAACCTTGACACATATCTTCCTGATTTTAAACCATACAGTGTTCTCTTTGCTCTGTTTTGGCATCTGCTTCTTCATCTATGTAGAGGTTTCACATGAGCACAATTTAGTATTCTGTTTAGTGTTCTTCTCAATGTTATTCATAATTTGTTATGTTCTATTCTACAGTCAAATACCTTTGCATAGTCAGTGAAACACATGTAAACATCTTTCTGGTATTCTCTGCTTTTAACCAAGGTCTCTCTGACATCAATAATGATATCCCTCATACCATGATCTCTTTTGAATCTAACTTAAATTTCTGGCAGTTCCTTATGGATGTTCTGTACCAGTCATTTTGTTAATAATTTTCAGCAAGATTTTACTTACATTTGGTATTAATGATGTTGTTGTTACGTGCCATCAAGTTGACTGTGACTCATAGCACAATACTCTGAACCTTGCTCTATGCAGAGCCAATCTTACTGTCTCTGACACACTTGCCTCCATTGCCTAGTCACTGTGTCTATCCATCTCATCCATGGTCTTCCTCTCCTGTGTTGTCCCTCCACCCTTCCAAGCATGATGCTCTTCTCCAAGGACTAGTTTCTCCAGGCAACATGGCCAAAGTATGTGAGGTGGAGCTCCAAAATCTTTGCCTCCAAAGAGCAACTTGGTTTCATCCTCTCCAGGAAATATTTGTTTGTTCTCTTGGTAGTCCATAATATATTCAATACTCTTCTCCAGCACCAGAACCCAAAGGTATTAATGATGCTGTTTGCTAATTTCTACATTTTGTTAGATCACATTTTTTTACAAGTGGAAATAAATATGAATTTCCCCTGATCCGTTGGCAAGGTAGTCTTCCAGTTTCTTGGAATAGACTAATAAGCATATCCAGGACTATATCTATTTGTTAAACATGTCAACTGAATTCAGTCAATTCTTGTGGTCCTATTTTTTGCCCATGCCTTCAGTGCAGCTCGAACTTCTTCCTTCTTTACCATTAGGTCTTGATCATTTGCACTTTCTAAAATGGCTCAGTATCAACCAATTCTTTTTGATACAGTCACTATGTATTCCTTTCATCTTTTTTTTATGCTTCCTGCATCATTCATAATTTTGCCCACGGAATTCTTCAGTATTGCAACTTGAAGTTTGCATAACAGTTGTTTTCTAGAAAATTCACAGTTTATTTTTAAATTTTATTATTTTTTGTGCATGTACCATCAAAGCAGATCTGACTTGTACGGGAGGAGATTATCCCTCCTTCTCCAGCAGAGCATTTGGTGGATTCGCACCGTGTGCCTCTGGGATTGCAGCGCAGCTTCTTGCCACTAGGCTACCAGAGCTCCCTATAAAGCTATTTTTAAGACAGATGCAAAGTATAGTTTTTGTTTAGCCTCAAGTAATTATAAAAAGGTTTTTCAGTTACAAGAATGGCTGGCTAGATATTGAAAAGTTGTACAAAATGAGAGAAATATTTTTCTTTATATGAAACTCATCTGTATAGTGTAGTTCAAGCATTTGGTGGTATCCCTACTCCTATCCAATCAGTTACTGTCACAAAAAGGAAAAAAAACCTTTACTACCACAGGTTTCTAAAGCATCCAAGTTGTTGTTGTTGGGTGCTGTTGAGTCAACTGTGACTCCTAGCATCCCTGTGAATAATATATCTGAACCCTGTCCTGTCCAGTGTCCGCTTCATCTCTGACACACTTGAACCCATTGCTGTGTCAGTCCTTCTTATTGTGGGTCTTCCCCTCTTTCAGTGACCCTGCACCTTTCCAAGCATGATATCCTTTTTCAGGGAATAGCCTCTCGTAACAACATGCCCAAGTATGTGAAATGAAGCTTCCCATCCTTTCTTCCCTGGAGCATTCTGGTTGCAATTTTTCTAAGACATATCTATTTGCTCGTTCAGCAGTCCATGGTCAGTGCTCTTCTTTAGCGCCACAATTCAAAGACATCCACAGGGGGGCAGTAATGTACTCATTTAAATGTTCTGTTATGTGCTCTTGACACTTTTTGCCATACACTTGATAATTACCTTATTTCATCTATCCTAAAGCCTGTCTTTTTGTTTTCCATTTTAATATCTCTAAAATTGTCTTAAAATTTAACATAAAAGTATTATGTTATTGTTTAGTTAACATCATTTCCTAATACATAAAATAATGGTACATCTTAAATATACTTGAAGGCTTAATTTTTTTATATCTACCAATGAAAATGAAAACAAAGGATGAATTAGGAAGACATTAGAAGAAAACAATACATGAAGTTTGGTTATTAAAAGGAAACAATATATGGGGTTTAATAATACATAGTGATTAAAAGGAAATAATACATAGGATTTGTTATCTTTTAATAAGCAAATGGAGGGTTCTGACTTTTTGTATTGTGTTTTTATAGTACACCTGAGGATCAGTGATATGAAAATTATTCCTTTTCCTATAGATAAGGAGGCTACATTAGCATGCTGACTATCTAAAACTGTGGCCAAAAAGAACAATAGGGTATCCAGTAGGGTTTTTTATGCCAAGATTTTGCCTAAGTTGTTTTTACAAGTTCTCTGGGTCCCATTTCTGAAAGATTTCATTCTTTTAAGCACAGAGGAACAACAGGCAGTGTTTTATGCTTACAGAATAGTAAGTTTTTAACTTCACAGTCCCAAGTTTAGACTGTCCTGCTTCCCTCTCAAGAGGCCTAAACTGGAACTGAGTGAATAGGTGGAAGACTTAAAGATAACAACTTATTCCTGTAATTGTTATTGTTGTGTACTGTAGAGTAAGAACCATCCCATAGCTGACCCTACAGCAGGTTTTCAGAAGCTGTTAATCACACAGGAGGAGATTGCCTATCCTTCTCCTGTGGAGCAGCTGGTGGCCTCGAACCATGTACCTTCGGGATTGCAAAGCGATTTCTTGCCACTAGGCCACCAGAGCTCCCTATTCCTATGATTAGAGAATTTAAAAATAGCATTTCCTGGCAGTGGCTAGTGGAGTGATAGAGGAATAATAACCATTTTCAATTGTTCTTGGGTTCTTTTTTTTTTTTAAGGGGGCTAATTTGAGGAAAAGAAGCATAGGGTACAGTATATCCAATTGCTAACTAAAGGTTGGCAATTTTAATTCATCCACGCCAAGAAAGAAAGATGGGCAGTATCTTCCCGTAAAGACTTAAAGTCTCAGAAGCCTGATGGAAAGTCACTTATGAGCTGGAACCAACTTGATGGCAATGCAGAGTGGGGAATTTAAAGAGAGCATTTTAAAACTGAGTGTTGAAGAAAATCTCTAGTCATCTGAGGACACTTGCCATCAGATGTCACAGATAAGAAACAATGATAAGAAATAGAGTTTTACATTTCTCATTTATCTTGTGAATCAGTATGGAGCACATCACAAGACAGAGTATCAGAAGCAGGCCTCTTCTTCCCTCATATCTACAGTGACAAGTGTAGAATGGACTTAGTACTAGTAAATGATGGTTATACTGAGAGAAATTCTTTCCCTCTACATCTCAGAGTCTCGATCTCTGAGAAAAACTACTCTAGAAGAAATTTGTTTTGCAAACAGTAGCACTTAGAACAAAGTGTATAGCACATTATGAGAGTGTAGAGGGAAGAATTCTTAGATATAAAGTAGAAGTTGGATACTTCATCTAGAACGTTGGTTTTTGTTGTGTGCTGTTAAGTTGGAACCGACCCATAGCAGACCCTCTAGCAAGTTTTCAGAGACAGTGAATCACTCAGAAGGAGATTACTTATTTTCCTCCTGTAGAGCAGGAGTAATTTGAACTGCGTGCCTTTGGGATTGCAGCACAGCTTCTTAACTACTAAGCCACCACAACTGCTGATCTAAAATTGTTGCTTTTATAATGAAATTAATTAAGTGGAAATTAATACCCTTTTCCATCATATATTTTAGACAGATACTTTGGGGAAGCAGTCTATGAGCAGAGGATTCACAAAGGACAAGGTGAGTTTTTGATTAATTCTAGAGATCCAATTCTGAAGTTACATGTCTATAATGAGAAGGTTGCAAGTTTCAACAAATTTACTGTTCAGAAATTTCTGGTTCAGAAATACCAGGTAAGATGGTTTTCTAGTCATAGAGATGAGAATTCATAGATTTTCTTGTTTGTCTTTGACATGATCCCAGCATAATGTGAGCCCTAGAATACTAGAGGAAATGTGAAGGAAATTTAGTAATGTCCTTTTTTCTGTGAGGAATAGCTTTTAAAAAACAATGAAAACATTTTCATTTATGTTATTAATTTGTAAATAAGGAGCTGCCTTTGATAGAGTGAGTAGTAATCAAACTAAAAGAAACATCTAAACTTTCTACTCTTACTAGCTAGAGAGTGCTGAGGGGCTTATTGGTGAGGTTAAAGCATTTGGAAAGTACATGTTACATTATGTTATGTTAGTTGTCCTTGAGTCAGCTCTGACTCATGAAGACTCCATGTCCAGCAGACAAATTGTTAGCCTGTTTTGTGCCATTTTCATAATTATTAGGATGCTTAAGTCCATTGTTGTTAGGTGCCATCAGGTCACTCCTGACTCATAATAACCCATAAACAACATGTACTATCCTGTGTCATTCTCACAATCCACTGCTGTGGCTTAAAGCCCATGCAGCCACTTTGTCAAGTCCATATCATTAAGAATCTTCCTTTTTTGCCAGCACTCTGCCTTACCATGCCTGGTGTCCTTCTCTAGAGATTGGCTCCTTCTGGTAACTTACCCAAAGTATGTGAGATAGAGTCTCTCTGTCCTTACTTACAGGGAACATTCTGATTTTACTTCTTCTAAGACATATTTGTTTGTTCTTTTGGAAGTCCATAGTGTATTCAGTATTCTTGATTAGCACCACAGTTCAAAAATATCAGTTACACTCCATTCTTCTTGTTCATTGTCCAGCTTACATGTGTATGAGATCAGACATACCTTAGTCCTCTGGGTGGCATCATTGCTCTTTAGTACATTAAGGAGGTTGCTTAAATAAAATGGCCACCATGTATTTTGATTGCCCTCCAATTCTAGCACTTTCTCAGATAATATTCTGTGCACATTAAGGAGGTTGCTTAAATAAAATGGCCACCATGTATTTTGATTGCCCTCCAATTCTAGCACTTTCTCAGATAATATTCTGTTGTGATTAATTGAATGTTGTGATTGCTGAATATTGTGATTTACTTTAAAAGCAAATTTACTGTTAATAATTAGCCACTAAGGAGGCACTCCTATAGAATAGTCTTTAGATTCAGAGAAACATCTATACTTACCCTTTTTTCACCAACAAAGTGCTATATTTTGTTGTGATTTATTATGGATTTTCATGAGCAAATTTTCAGAAGTAGAGCTCCAGGCTTTTCTTCTTAGCCCACCTTGGTGACCCTCCTGACAATTGAAATTCTGGTGGCAAAGCTGCCAGCATCATAATAACATGTAAACTGCCACAGAACAACAAACTGACAGATTGGTAAGGGTGAGAAGTACATTGTGACCTATAAATATTCCTTATGAACAGAACTGTGAAAATCTGCCTGAACTTGAGGACTTACTTCCTCTGAGCATATGGGTTTTCTTACACCTGTTTTCTACTTATTGCAGATGTGCCTCCTTTCCCTTTCCTGGCAGACTGCTTCCCCAGGACTAGAAGCTAGAATTAAGCCATGTGTTTTGTTTGTTTTTAAATTCTGATTGTTAATTGTCTTTTTTTTTTCAGACTCTTAGTTCAATATTTAACATTGAGATGGTGAAAGACAAGACTGCAGAAGAAATAAAACAGGTAATGAGTAAAAGCAGGTTGGCATACATTATAAAAATGTGTGCTCTGTGGACCAAGTCTTAGTGTACATTTCTGATACCTCTTTCTAGCCAAAATGTTATGAAAGCACAATGATGCTTTACTTGAAGAACAGTAGCATAAGAAAACTTCTCTTTCTTCATCTCACCCTTCTATGCCTTGTATGTCTTGTCAGCTCATGGTCCATCTTTTGTTCTTATTTCCACTGCCCACCATCTTATTTAAAATTACTAGAACTCTCAACCTGGATCACAACTGTTGTCGTTGTTGTTAGGTACCATAGATTGATGTCCTAGGCATTGTTCTTATTGTTACCCTGTACCATCGAGTAAGAACCAATCCTCCAGGAGTTTTTCACAGGCAATAAATTGCATGGGAACAGATTACCCACCCTTCTCCATGGAGCAGCTGGTAGATTTGAACTGTGTGCCTTTGGGTTAGTAGCATAGCTCCCTACCACCAGACTACCAGTGCTCCCTATACTAGACATTAGTGACCTGAAATGAACTGGTTTGTCCATTTTGAATCAAATAATCACATAGCCTCCTATGTTGGTGTGAAAACAGTGGACCAGGATTGGGGAAGCAGCATCTGAATTCCACTAACTTCACAAAGGAGAAGAGTCCCCACCCACAATATTGATAGCACAGAGCTGGTTCCTGTGGAGTTAAATGCTCTCCATATTCCGACAGCTTCTTCTGTCTATTCTAATACAACCACTTCTCCCAGGGCTCTCACTGCTCAACTGCTGGGTTCACTAATCTGTTGCAGTGACCACACAGAACTCACAAGCTTCCCTGATAATCTCACCGTTATAGGGTGTGCTATGGAAGATTGTTCTTGTTGTATACTGTAGGGTTGGAATGACCCATAGCTGACCCTCCGGCAGGTTTTCAGAAACAGTTAATCACATGGCAGGAGATTGCTTATCCTTCTCCTATGGAGCAGCTGGTAGCCTCAAATCATGTCTTTGGAATTGCAGTGCAGCTTCAGGTAGGAATGAACTGTAATTCTTTAGTCAGGACAATTGCTAAGGGTTCTCCTAGACCCTCTGACCTTCAGCCTCAAAACTCTGGGCCCGTGTTACAAAGCTGATTTATTTCTGTCAATAATGACACCTACCCCTAGCTCCGCAATAAGTGTGGGCAAAGGCCGTAGGCTTTGGCTACATGGAGCAGCAGTTCTAGTTCAGCTCTGTCTCATTGTTCTCTGGTTCTGCACTACCTCATTTACTCTTGCTGCTAATCTAATCTGGTCTGAGTCTTTATCCTGTGCAACTCAAAAGGATGTACTGCACTCTTCACTTCTTTCTTGATGGTACTGAGATTTCTGGTTTCACCCTCTTAACCTTCTCACTTAAAGCCTGGTGGAATGTCAAAACTGACCAGTCTTCTCCACAGTGTTCTAAACACTTTGTTTGGCTATATCCAACCCAGAGGTGCTATTTACCTTATTTAGATTTATGAACAAGATATCTAACCCCATTGTGGGGGCCATAAATACACTTCATTAGTATAGCCCTACCCAGCCATGGTGGTGAAAGTCAAAAGAAAAGTCATATCAAATAGCCAGGAATGACAAAGAGGAAAGGTGTAGCATTTAACATCAAAAAGAACATTTCAAGATAAATCCTGAAGTACAGTGCTATAAATGATAAAATAATATTTATCTAAATACAGGTAAACTCTATTAACACAACTATTATTAAAATATATGCACCAACCACTAAAGCCAGAGATGAAAAAATTGAGTATGTCTACCAACTTCTGCATTCTGAATTGACATATGAAGTCAAAATATGTTAATACGTTAATAGTCAGATGCTTTATGATTCCAGATGTGACAACCACCACATGGAGCAACATTTTTCTCTCTCAACACAGCTCGATTATAAAAAGCACTGTGGCAGTCTTCTGTGGTGTGGCTATGGAGAATCTGGTCCAGCAGACTGAACAGTGAGGCAGGTTGCTGAACCACCGACTAAGCACCCAAAGCCCACCACTCAGGAGGAACCCAAGATGTCCTTAGAAGCAGTTATCACCAATGAGCCTTTCGCCCATTCTGCTTTGAAGTTAACCGCAGGCAGTGGTATCTGCTTCCAGGACAGGTGATTGCTGCCAGACATTGTCAGGATCAGATATCTTTCTGATCTTCACCTGGGCACTCACCCTCCAAAGTGGAGTCAATATCAGATGTTTTCTGATGTTTCTGTGAGTAAGTGGGTCATATCTGCTCCCACGTTCTAGGAAGTTCCAATGTCACCACTACCATCCTTCCCTAGATTATCATCTTCAAAGAAACAGTAGTACCGTGACGCCACTCCATGTGCTTCAACCTCAGGGCGCACTTTTGGACAATTTGCACAATTTGCTTTCATCTTTCAATATGTGTTCTCAAAATCACACACACACACACACACACACACACACACATCATTAATAACAATTGGTGACTGCAATGCAAAAGCCAGAAACTAAAGAGGATTGGCAGTTGGAAAATTTTGGCATTAATGACATAAGGAGGCCAGAGATTACATAAAAGAATTTGTACAACGAATAACTTATTCTGGGAAATGTACAGGGATATTACCTGATGGGATACATAGGAATCTGTTTGATTACACCTGTGGAAAGAGACACTGGAAAAGCTCAGTATCATCATTCAGCACAAAGCAGGGGGGCCACCTGTGGAATAGACCATTAGTTGCTCAGATGCAAATGAAATTGATGCTAAAGAAAATTAAAACAAGTCCATGAAAGCCATAATATGACCTTGAGTTTAACCCACCTGAGTTTAAAAACCATCTTAAGTAGATTTCATAGATTGAATACTGACAGCCAAAGACTGGGGTGAGTTTTGAGATGACGTCAAGGACATTAAAAACACAGGAAAGAAAGAAAAAAGAGCAAAATGGATTCCAGAAGAGACTCTGAAACTTGCTTTTGGAGAGAAACTAAAGGGAAAGATGAAATAGCTGATGATTTAAGATAGCTGAATAGAGATTTCAAAAGGGAGCTGGAGAAGACAAAGCACTGTAAAAAATGTGCAAAGACTTAGAGCTAGACACCAACAGAGAACATGCTCAGCATTTCCCAAGGGGAACTGAAGAACAAACTCAAGTCTCAAGTTGCAATACTGAAAGATTCTTTGGGGAGAATATTGGATGACACAGGCAGCATCAGAAATGTTGGAAGGAATATATAGATTCATTGTATCAAAAATAATTGATGGGCACAGAACCATTTCATGAAGTAGTATTTGATTGAGAGACAGTAGTATTAAAGTAAGAAATCCAAGCTGCACTCAAGATATTGGCAAAGATAAGGCTCTGGGAATTGACAGAATATCAATTTTGATGTTTTAGCAAACAGATGCCGCCTTGGACATGCATCATTTATGCTATGAAATTTTGAAGATGGCTGCCAAGCCAATCGACTAAAAAAGAACCATTTTTGTGCTCTCTCTTTTTTTTAAAATATGGAAATTATCAAATATATCAAACAATATCACTATCACATGCAAATAAAACCTTACTGAAGATTATTTTGAAAAAATACTTGGAGTAGTATATCCACAGGAAACTGCCAGAAATTCAAGCTGGACTCAGAAAAGGCTATGGAGGAAGGTATATCATTGCTAATGTCAAATGGATCCTGGCTAAAAGAAGAGAATACCAGAAAGAAGTTTGTGCTTTATTGACTATGCAAAGGCATTTGATTGTGTAGAGCATAATAAATTATGGATAACATTGAGAATAATGGGAATCTCAAAACAATTGTGTTCATATGGGACTGTTATTGAACAAAAAAGCAAAACAAGGAGATAGTACATGTTTTAAAATAAGGAAAGATAAATGTCAGAGTTATATCCCTTCAGCATACCTATTTAGTATGTTGTTTGTAGATACCATCAAGTCAAGTACAACTTATAGCAACCCTGTGAACAACAGATCTGAATCCTATGCTGTGCCGTCATCACCATTTCTGATACACTTGAGCCCGTTGCTGTAGTCACCACGTTAATCCATTTCCTTAGTGGATCTTCCTTGCTTCCACTGACTCTCCACCCTTCCAAGCATGATATCCCTTTCCAAACATGAGCCTCTTTTAGCAACCTGAGAAAAGCTTTGCCATGCTTGCCTCCAAGGAACACTACAGCTGCACGTTTTCTAAAACATACCTGTTCGTTCTTTTGGCAGTGTATAGGATGTTCATTACTTGGCTCCAGTACCACAACTCAAAGGCTTCAGTTCTTTTTCTGTCATTCCTTATTCATTGTCCAATGCTCTAATGCATAGCAGGAAATGGAAAAGACCATGGTCTGAAACAAGCAAACCTTAGTCTTCAAACCAAAATCGCTGGTATTTATTATTTTGGAGATGTCTCTGACAGTAGACCAAAGCAATATGTCTTATCTCCCTACTGCTGGTACCAAGCATTTTGTATAGAGAACAGATAATCTGAGAAACTGAACCATCTGAAGAAGAATGTCATTTCAGAATTGGAAAACAATTCATCAACAACCTATGTTATAAAAACTAACAACAACCTTCCTTCCTGAAAGTGAAGAGGACTTGAAATACTTACTGAGGAAAAACAAAGATTATATTTCTTCATTATGAATTATACCTCATTAAAAATAATCACAGTGGACCAAAAGGCAACAGGATGATAAATGAAGAAAAGATAAATAAAGTCAAAGATTTCCGTTTACTTAGATTCCCAATCAAAGTTCATGGAAGAGTGAAGAAATCAAATAATATATTGCATTAGGAAAATCTGCACAGGGTTTTTTTTTTTAAAGTGCTAAAGAACATTGATGTCAACTTAAAGACCCAAGTCATGACATTTGTAGTTGCTTCATATGTGTGTGAAAGTTGGAGAATGAAAAAGGAAAACCAAACAATTTATTATTTTGAATTGTATTGGCAAAGAATATTATGTATAACATGAACTGCTAAAATAAATAAATCTGTGTTGAAA